AACTCCAATTAAAACGCAACCCTATATAGGAACGCGTTTTAATCGAGTTCATATCGCAACTATATTACAAGTTAATTCAACTATATTAAAAGTTAATCCAATGTAGTCCTCGGAACATATTGCAATACAAGTATGTGTGTGTGTGTGTGTGTGTGTGTGTGTGTGTGTGTGTGTGTGTGTGTGTGTGTGTGTGTGTGTTTGTGACGCTAAATGTGTGCAGTAGTTATCGACGAAAAGAAACAAAACGTCCCCGTAAATCACGTTTCCATAGATACAGCAACCATGAGATATAGTCATCCCCTTTGGGCTATGGAGGATGAGCGTTGGGAGTAGACATCAGTCAACCTCGGCTCTCGGCACGCCTACTCTCATAGTGGTACATGTGGAATTATAAATAACGCCATTCAGTGTGAAAAGTCAAGGTAATCTAAGCAACCAGCGAATATTAATAACAATTACCGAATTATGCATCATGGGGCGTACCCAGGCACGAACCGCGCTGGGCTGGGCTGGGCTGGTGGAAGCCGGTGTTTGCCCCGAGCCCTGAAGGGGGCGCACAGAGTACACACTCACGAACGGGCGCTAACGGTATTAAATACCAATTCAAAAAAACATTGTGAGATTTTACGAATTTTTGTTAAAATACAAAATGAAAGTAAAATTATGTACAGCAAGAATTTTCCGTTAGCATAATACCAGATTAGCTTCTGTGTATTAATATTCGGATTTGAAATACAGGTAAATTCAATTGAAATGCACACACTTCTGTAATTACGATCGGCAGTGAACTTTTAATGGTATTTGAGATTTCATTGAAATAAACGTGTATACAAACTTGCACGTGATCTTCCGTCGTGTATAAGCTAAAACTACTACGCCCAATAAAACAATAGTAAACGTGTCCGTAAAATGTGCCACGCGCGACACCATAATATTCATCTTGCACGCTCCCAGTGAGCCGCAATATTAACTTTAAAAAATGAAGAATCTAGTAATGAATAATCGTGACTGCATAATGAATGATGCATAAGAACGTTTAGTTGGATACACACAACGATGCATTTTCTCGGATCACAATTAAGTTTGGTATAATTGCTCATGTCAACTATTTTTTCAGGCCGCATTCACCACTTTTACTCTCGCCTTCTCTCCCCCGGCATCAGCCCCCTAAACGGTTGTCAGTGCGGGGCAGCAGACACTGTACACATTCTCCCGGGCATACTAGTATTAGTTTTGCACATACACTATAATTCATCAGCGTAAACACGGGGAATAGACCGGTGCACGCACTGAAGTTCTATTACTGCTCCACTTACCAGCTCGTTCCCTGTGTCTGATGTACGGAGACGGAGAATCCGAACAAGCTGTCAGTTGGACCCGAGTGTATCACCGGCGATGTGGTATCCACATTAAATCCCCGTATAACGAGAGGCGACAACGCGAATATCCAGAAATAAACGTGAACCAAGGCTGTCATCGCATCAAAAATACTCCAAACAACATGTGAGAGTTACTGCGATAAAAATATTCCAGGGTATATTCCAATACAACGAAGAGTTCACATAGAGAGCGGTATACAATCCACGGGGATGCCAAGTACTGTCTGACTACATAGACTCGTGTACGCTGTTACTAGTATGAATGGATTTCATGTTAATAAGTAGGCGTGGTTTTTTTCCCATTCTGTGATGCGATATTAATGACTAAACATCAGTGACTTTGGGCATACGCAACTCTCCAGTTGTACAATATACAGCATATTTGTTATTTGGGGCAATTTGAAGACGCTCCGAGATAGAAAATTAAAAAAACAGTCCGAACTAACAAGGCTTTTAATTTATTTTAAAATGTCATCATAAATTTTGCCAAGGTAATATTGTATTTCACGAACGACATTTTGTTAATTAAAATAACGGTTTTACTCGCTATGTGTTGTCTATTTAGCTAATTAAATTGCTCAAAATATGGCTCACACCCCGTAAATCATCAACGTACGTGAATTAATTGCAGGGCGATGAACCCCGACGAAGGCGTGACGGCGTTGCTATTAGCAACATCGGTTGCAGTTAGACGCCCGCACCATTCATTCTCTGAGCGCCCTCACACGACGATGGTTTTAAATGCAAAACAAACGAAGGAAAGGTCAGGTTAGGACAAGTCGTGAATTAAATGGGTTCCCGCTGGTGTTCAATCAGTACTTGACGCGGTATCATACGGACGTATTGTTAGATTTCATATCGCGTAACTTCATGGTTAACAAATCACATTAATAATTCTCAAATATTATGTGGCATTTTAAACATTCTCAGACAGGAAATCAAATAATAATCTACTGCCACAACGAAGTAGATACATTTTGAATGTTTTTTTTTCTTCAAAATTCAAAATAATTTTGTTTCTTCTCATTCCATTTCAACATGACATATATTACATGTACGCATATGTCACTACAGTGCATCTACACTTTGGAATGCAGTCCAATTTAAAACATTATGTAACAGGTCATTTGATGTCTATTACGTCCTAGTATTAAATTCTGTGTTCATGAATGAATCCTATATTCCCTTTTCTTGTATTACTAGATTGGAAAATTAACTAAAATAAAATATTTCAGTAAGATAAGAAAAATGAACAAAACACACTCACTATTGTAAAGAAAATGTCGGAAACAATAACCAATACTACGTCACTAAACGATGTATTGTACATTGTTACCATGACATCTATAGTGTGTTTAACAGTACGTGCACAGGAGAACGGCGTATTTATCGTCGTGTTACCTAGTGCATTTTGAGTCATAGTATACGAACGAACCAACAATTTAATCACATGGGCTCGCGGCGACGTACTGCAGTGATAGAGTCGTGCATTCGTCGCGGTTAGTAAAAGGAGAACGCACTGGCATCATGCAAGTACCATACGTGTTTTGCTCAAATCATGGATGGAATCGCCAGTGTTCTTTATAATTCAACCCCCAGGCTGGCGCGAATGTGCTTTTCATAGAAGAGAAAACACGCTTTGGCTCTTTCTTCGGATCACGTGGTTTGAAAAGTTACAGAACACCTGGGACACCCGGATACAGGCATAACGTAGAATTATTTGCAGAATGAGATTGCTACCATGGTAACTGTAACTGGAGAAAGTGGATAAGGCTCCGCAAATGAGACAGAGAATTTATCTCGGAAAGTATACTGCCTTGATAATTGTGTATTGTCATGGCAACTAAACCAAATCGGAGAATTGGATATTAAAGTGGTATATCGAATTTTACTCAACAAAAATTACGTGGATCACGTGTCTTAATATGACATACTATAATGTAATGTTTAAATAAGACGTGACTGATATTACCCTTTAAGTTTACCATAGGCGCTTATTAACCTTATTTCAATGCTCGTGTAATTGTAAAAACACCGGTGAAATTAAACAGTGTGCCCTTGGAAATGTACATAGCACTTTGAACTATATTACAGAATTTGCTGTGTAGGCTGTCCATCAATTAATTGGAAACATCTGATGCTCATATGGGTCAATATCTGAACGAATCGATATGTAAAACTCTTAGTAGTATGGGAAGTAAAGCACATAAGACTGAATACACGACAGGGTAATGGTATGTAAGTGTATGTGCTTATATATCAACTTGTGAATGTAGGTATGCTACGACAAGGTTGACTTTGTGTGAAGTTAAACGTCTTTTGGTTTCACCTCGAGTTCATTCTCTAATCAGTTCTCCTGAGTCGTGGTGAAATATATTTCTGAATGCACACTGAATACACCGATGTTTGGACTATCTCTAAAATGAGCTTCGATGAAACGACGAAACCGGTGATAATCGTGTTTCGTTAATATTCGTGGATATGCGTGCTTCAATAGCTATATACATATCCACGACGTCTTTGTTAGATTACATGGTCTAGTATTCTCGCTACTTCATTTGATCGACAAAATTGTCATGTGGCCACGTGACCAAATATTTTATTGACAACATTTATCTGGATTTGTTGAAAATCATCGTTGTTTACTTATCAGATTTATGTCACCCTAAAGTCATCCTTCAGAAGACGAAGATACATTCTTAACTTTAAATTGACATTTTCGGAATCATTTGAAAACTGGATGCGCTAAGATGCATACAAGCATTGGCGGATTTGGATGGGGGTCGAGGGGGCCGCGCCCCCCTATTTTTAACAATCAACAGGGCTTCGCGCCATCGGCGCTCGCGAACTTGGCCTGAGGCCAACTTATCGCCCTCCTATTCCAGAATCCTAGATCCGCCCCTGACAGGTGTTCATGAACGCCCCCCCCGAGTAGCGAACGTAAATTACAATACACTTTATTGCAGGTAATATAATGGCTTTTGTCGCTATGAATATGCATCACATACTTACCTGTGAATACCATGCAACTCTTAGAAACCCTCCACGAAAGCTGCTTATCCAATAAAAACAATTAATTCTTAAGCACGTAACTATTGTCTATTTTAGTTCAAAAGTCGGGCCGACATTAATTATTTAAATACAATTATTATTTAAGGGAATAAGGGAAGTTGGAATAAAATATTAAGGTCGGATTGGACGACGATTCTGTTTACTTCATTGGGCTATCAAGTAAATACAAGTTAACAGAATATCATCTCCAGAACGATGTCTCACTAAATACGAACACAGCATAAATTGAACACTCTTTTCACTATATTTTTTACAACTATATTCATTTCTTGTTGTATGGTGGTTGTGCACTTTAAATTAAAACCTTTGTGCACTTTAAATTAAAACCTATCTCAGATGCCATGGGCAAATAACAACAAGTGACTACCCTTTGTGTAGAGCAAAATGCTTGGCAGAATGGAAAACTTATATCACTAGTATCTCAATGATGTAAAAAAATGGTAAAGTTTTGAATCTATGACGATTTACAAAACACTAGACATATTTAGTAATTATTTGAAAAAAAAATCACCCACAAACTACATGCGTCAAACATAGAGCACATGGAACCATTGGCCATCATAGTAAACAAACAAATTGTTTATGGTGCATTGGTTTAATGCTTATGTGCTGATGGAATGGGGACACACTAAGAGGTGGAGTGGATTTGTAAATAATCTATTTATACTAAATCAATTAATTGTGTGCAATCGTGGGGGAATTAATTCCCATCCAGCTTACCCCAATGTAAAACGGTTTTCCGTATCACTGAGTACGACCTGATTATACTACGCGAAAACGCTCCTGTTGTGAAAACCAAGCGAACTAAATTAACTGAGACCGGTAATTGGAAATATCTATCAAGCAGAATTGCGGCATACTTTGGTACAAGTGTCGGCATTTCTCTGAGACTATGGTTCCCACGTAGGTGTAAACACGTAGTCTGAATATCTACAGGTTGTACTCATTAAAAATAAAAGTCAGTGAACTACAGAGACTGACGTGCATATGGATGTGAATGAATGGTTGTGTGGCTGTATGACTTGAATTTGTTATCTCCTCTTACTGAATTAACCATGCCTATTGGCCGCTGTTTTGTGCCGATAATATAATCTATATACAGCCTATGATGACACAACATACACTAGTATAATCTATATACAGCCTATGGTGAGACAACATATAATAGTATAATCTATATACAGCCTATGTGACACAACATATAATAATATAATCTATATACAGCCTATGGTGAGACAACATATAATAGTATAATCTATATACAGCCTATGTGACACAACATATAATAATATAATCTATATACAGCCTATGGTGAGACAACATATAATAGTATAATCTATATACAGCCTATGGGGAGACAACATATAATAGTATAATCTATATACAGCCTACGATGACACAACATAAATAGTATAATCTATATACAGCCTATGGTGACACAACATATAATAGTATAATCTATATACAGCCTATGATGGCACAACATATAATAGTATAATCTATATACAGCCTATGAGAACACAACATACAATAGTATAATCTATATACAGACTATGATGACACAACATACACTAGTATAATCTATATACAGCCTATGGTGACACAACATATAATAGTATAATCTATATACAGCCTATGTTGACACAACGTGCATATGGATGTGAATGAATGGTTGTGTGGCTGTATGACTTGAATTTGTTATCTCCTCTTACTGAATTAACCATGCCTATTGGCCGCTGTTTTGTGCCGATAATATAATCTATATACAGCTTATGATGACACAACATATGAAAATGTAATATATATATACAGCCTACGATGACACAACATACAATAGTATAATCTATATACAGACTATGGTGACACAACATATAATAGTATAATCTATATACAGCCTATGATTACACAACATACACCAGTATACTCTATATACAGCCTGTGATGACAGGAAACACACTAGTATAATCTATATATACATATATAGTACACTATACATAACATACATAAATTACAATGCTCCAATCGCCAACCTCAGACCTAATCAACATAGACGTGCATTTTCAAGTACTACTACGTAATAGTGCTTATTTAGTGTTTAGTAAATGACTTGTTACTGT